ATTTTCTAACAGGTTTTTTAAACCATCTTCTACTCAACCAAAATACAGTGATAGCAACGGTTAGGGCAGCAAAATAAGATATCAATAAACCTCAACTAAAACTATATATAAATCCTGATAGAGTTATTAATGTACTGTAACCGAATACTAACGGGAACGTGGTCAAGAATAGTATGCAGTACAACATTATTACACCACTATATTTTTAAAAAAAAATTTTAAGTGTTAATTATTTCAACAGGTTATTTTTAATAATGAAAAATGCTACAACATTAAAAAATATTTCGTAGAAACATACCCAATTCCCATAGTTTGTATTTTATGTACAAGTTTTTCTAATCCTATTAGGACTTTATCTTTTTGTATTATAAAAAAACATATTAATATTCCCACGAAGAGTCCATAAATCAATAAAGGAATCCATGGAACCAATTTTTTCAGTATTATACTAATGTTCCTATGCCATCGATGCTTGGCATTTGTAAACATTTTCAAATATAAATCACTACTAGTTTTAAAACAACTATTAAGACTGATAATAGCCATAGAGGAATTTTTTATGATAGATTTTTTTAAAAAAAAAGCTTAAATAATCAAATAATATATTTTTTTTGATAGATTTATAAATTGAGAAATTGGATGTAATAGATAAAGATTATTTTGCGAGAAAGTTTAATATGATAATGATTTATTAGTAACTGAGTATTTTTGAAAACGAAGATTTATATATTAATAAGCAAGGAGATCGTAACTATTTGAGCTGTTACCGTCATGAAAAGTATTTTTTTAAACTAGTAAAGTACAAGTTTGCCGTTTACTGTGGAAATTTTATAAAAGAGAATAAATCGAAAAAAAGAACAAACATATCGAGGGATGGTGTTAATGATCTTTGTTACAAATTACACGTTGTACATGTGTAACGTACGATTGAAATTCCCTATTATGCACCATGCCGTTTTCATTTACTACATACATACTAATACCTTTAATTAATATAATGTTACAAATAATATGTTACATATTTTAATGTGAAAGATCAGTTTTGTTAACGGTTTTAGATTATAAATTGCATGAGATCCACGAATAATTACAGTATTAGTAAAGGTTAGCTTTGTCTTTATTGTCCTTGATCATTGATTTTCAACTTTTATTTTTTTTTTGTTCTTACAATGATCGAATTAAAGAGTTTAATTCCATACTATACAAAGTATTTGATTCATAGCAGATAGTACATTTCATGATTGAAGAACTCGCCTCACTAGACGTGTTGATCACTTTGCTACTGTGTCTGATCGTCAGCGTATCCGGAATGAACAGATCCATGTGGCGATACCTTATGTAAATCAAAATTATCAAAATTACTTATCGGATATATATGGTATCACTTAAAACTTTCTCTTACCCAGTTCAGTCGCAGGCCAATCGTTAATAACAATACGTAAAAAAATATAATGCAGTATGTCGATTATACGTACGTACGTATGTATAAACTTTACCAAAAGATCTACGTATGTACGTACGTAGGTTAGGTACGTACACGTGATACATGTAAACGTGACTTCTAAAGGCAAGTGAAAAAAATCGGATAAAATATGGGGCCGCTGAGAAACTTTTCACCCGTGTATTATTGAGTGTATTATATTATTAAATTACTTGGATTATCTTGGTAAATTATTATATATTTCAGATAGCCATATAACGATGATTTCTACCAGGATACACTGACAAGAGTGATTACAGAAAATTCTCAAATGAGTTAAAATTGCTTAATAATTTTATTTACAGCATATAACTACAATTTTGGTCACTTCCACGAATTTAATACTTAAGTAAAATTTTAATCTACGTAAAAATCTTTAATAGGGTGTTACATATTATATTTAATTTATGTATGTACTGTACGTACGTACTTAGTATATATAACACACCAATGTTGTCGTGCCCCTTATCCCTCAAATTCCTCTCCAGTGTTTATATGCATTAGCCATAGGAACAAAGATCACGTAAACATGACAATACATGACTTACGATTCCGTAAGATCTTTTTTATTGGTCAAACCAGACAAAATAGGCAAGTACAGTAGATCCCGGAAATAATAAAAAGTTAACAGGTAAATATTTATTGCACGTATCATGGAAAATTCTGTAACTCTGGTCGTACGTACGTACTACTAAGCTGTAAATACGTATAATTTATTGTGTAACAAAAAATAGACACGTAAGTAAAAGGTGTCTTAATGTTCTTAACTTTTAAAATGATTCTAAAGTGATTAAACTACAGTACCAAATGAACACCGTAAAAGGTTGGTTCCCATGTCTTGTAAATCATCAGTGGTGTAGGAATGTTTTACCGATTTTATGCGCTAATTAGACTCTTTTAATATTGAAATCTCGTCTTTAATCATTAAAAAAGACTGATAAAAATATTTTTAATACTTCTAAAACTATTTATTTGACTATTATAAATGTTAATTCCCGGTAGAGATTTCATTAATTAGCTTAATAAATGTAAACTATGGCACTTTGTA